ATCTTTTTTGCATGATATTTGTATAGCTACTGCATCTGTCTTCTGATTGCTGTTTGCATGGTACATCTTTTCCCATCCTTTTACTTTCAACTTATTTGTATCTTTGAATCGAAAGTGTGCCTTGCTATAAACCACATAAAATTGTGTCTTTTTTTTAACAAGTCTAACAGTCCCTGTCTTTTTAGTTGATTCCCTAATCCATTGCCATTTAATGTTGTTGATTAATATCTGCCATTCAGCTTTTGGGTTTCTGTATGTCTCATTATTTTATGTTCCTTTGTTCCTCTTTTACAGCCTTATTTTTTTTAATTTAGGTTGTTTATTTTTCATTTCAATGAGCATCTACAGAGATTTTGGAATTCCATTCATTCATTGTTGCACCCTTCTCCCCGCACAAGCCCCTCCCCCCCCCGTTTAGCCTTATTAAGTTGAATGTTGTGTAGTGACCCTTTTAATTCTTTCAATTATTTCTAACTATATTTTATGTATTTTCTTAGTGATTTTGCTGAGACTTACACTATATATTTTAACTTAGAGAATCTACTCCAGAGCTACTGCCTTTTAAAAAAGCTTTTGTTTGTTTTTTTAATGTCTGGATTTTTTTTATTTGCTTCTTTTTTCTTTGTTTTTGTTTCATTGTTTTTATTTTTTTATTTTGTGTGCGTGTACCGTTAAATCAGATCTGACTGGTACAGAAGGATATTGCACCTCCTTCTCCGGCAGAGCGTCTGGTGGATTCGAACCATGTTCCTCTGGGATTGCAGTGCAGCTTCTTGCCACTAGGCCACCAGAGCTCCCCTTTTTGTTTTGTTTTTTAGTTTAATAGTATTTTATACTTATTTATTTACAAAGTTCTAATACATTGTTTTTCACACCGGATCTTTCCCATTTCCTTCACCCGCAATACTATCAAATTGTGCAACTCTAGGACCTCTCCAGGGTACTGAAGAGCAATGGTGTCACTCTGGAGAGTAAGGTGCATCTGATACAGGCTATGGTCTTTGCAATCACTTTTTACGCATCAGAGAGTTGGACAATGACCAAGGAGGATAGAAGGAGAATTGATGCCTTTGAGCTGTGATGCTGGAGAAGAGTATTGAATGTACCATGAACTGCCAAGAAAACAAACAGATTCATCCTGGGGAGGATTAAACCAAGCAACTCCTTGGAGGCAAGGATTCTGAGGCTTCATCTGACATACTTTGGACATGTTGTAAGGAGGGACAATCGGTCCTTGGAGAGGGACATCATGCTTGGGAGGGTGGAGGGACAACACAGAAGGGGAAGACCCTCTATGAGGTGGATTGATTCAGTGACTGGGGTAATTGGGATGGGTGTGTTAGAGGCAGTGTGATTGACAGAGGATAGAGCAGGGTTTAGGGCTGTTGTACATAGGGTTGCTATGAGTCGCAAGTGACTCGATGGCACATAACAACAACAGCAACAACAGGATTAACCACCCCACCCATCCTTACCCCTCTGCTTTCCCTCCTCCCCTCCAGATATTCATACTCATTCTACAATGGTTTTATACAGTGTTTGTCCTTATAAAAACCTATTGTTTTATAATACCAAGTCATCCCTTGCACATGTATAGTATTTTATACTTTATAAATTGCTGCTATATTCTTTACCTTATAATTCTAGCAGTAATACGACTGATTAAGGAGGGCATACATTTCTATTTCCATTTTACAGATGTGAAAGAAGAACCAATGAGGTGAAATGACTTGCACAAAATCACACAGCTAGAAGTTGGCAGAACCAAAACTACAATCAGATCACATAATTTACTCATCTATTAATCCTGTCAAATCTGTTAAATACCTACTACTGAATATAGAACAAGAGAACAGGGATTTCCTGACAATACTTTCATTTCATTAGTGTCGAGCACCAACTTTGCATTGATCCTAGGCTTTTTGGCCACTTCTGCCTTTTGGAGACCTCACAGTCCACAAGAGAAGATACAAATTATTAAAAAGTGATGTTATAATTAGGGCTTTACTACATGTTTTAAGAGACAGAGGAGGAAGGAAGTTAACTATGTATAGGAGGATAATGGGTAATCTCAGGGAGAAGATAAAATCAGAACAAGGCTTTAAAAGATGAATACAAATACCAGGGAGAACAAAGAACATGATACAGGAAGGTTTATGACCAGAAAGGACACAGTATGTTTCGGAAAGGACGTGTAGTTTGGAGGAGGTAGGAGGTCCAAATAGAGACAGGGATTGAAGGTAAAGCTAGGGGGAAAGCCAGGCTGGTGATGGATTGTGGAATGTCTTAATTTCCACTCTAAGGAATTTGAATTTGACTCTATGGACTGAAGAACCAAAGAATTCTAGACAGAAGACTTACACGTTTTATAATTATCATTCTATCATTTATCATTTTATAATTATCATATATATAAATTTGTGAAGGGATTGTTGTTTTATTGTTAGGTGCCACTGAGTAGGTTGATCTTGTATACAACTCACATGAAACATTGCTCAGTCCTGCACCATCCTCACAATTCAATGCTGAGCCTGTTATTATATCCACTATCTCAATTTATCTTATTGAGAGTTTTCCTCTTTTTCACTGTCTCCTTTACCAAACATGATGTCCTTTTCCAGAGACCAGTCCTTTCTGCTAACATGTCTGAAGTATGTGAAATGAAGTTTCAGCATCTTCCCTTCCAAGGAGCATTCTTGTTAAAGAGGGCAAATTAGGATGTGATCCTAGTTGTCTAGGTCAGAGTCAGTGAAGGTTTCAGTACAGTGTCAGCATTATGAATGAATGTAATGTAACATCTCAGAGCTTGAGTATATTTGACTCATATTTGAGAGACTCCATTCTTCTCTAGAATGGCTTGCTCCTTCCCTTCTTATCCTGTCCCCTTTTCTCTCCAAGTTGGAATAAAGCCTAGTCTGGCCTTGTTTTAGGTGATTTTTAGGTTGGGCCTGTAAATATAAGATCAGTGGGCCTCAACGTATCGGAAATCTGTTTTTAACAGTGCATCTGAAAAGGACAAAAATGCCTGCATCAGTTTTCTGCTCACAGAGTTAGGTGGCAGCTAAAGGACAAACTTATTAACCATATCTTAGAGATCCAACAGAAGCCCTTCTAATTTAATTTTCTGCTGCTCCCCTATTCTCTAACCACATAGAGTTAGTTACCCTTCCTAAAATTTACTTTCAACTTTATATCATTATTCAAGCTGTTCTAGCTTTTCTGCTTATAGTCCTATCTTACCTGTCTATAAATCCCACTTTCTCTTTGCAGATTACTCGGATTCCCTGTTTAGTAAAGAAAAGCAGCCTTCTTAGAATAAGAAGGCCTGGGTTTGAATCCTGGCTCTGTCATTTACTTTCTTCATGTATTTTCTTAAAACATTTAAAAAATGTATAAAATGAGGACATACTTATGAGGCCTTAGTAAATATTAGAAGGTATCATGGAAGTTAAATAATTCCAAAACTGTAACCCAAAAAAGCCCATTGTTATTGAGTTGTTTCTGACTCATGGTCACCCTTTGTATGTTTACAAGACTATATAGATCTTTATGAAAGAAGGCTGTCCATCTTCTTTTCTGCAAATCAGCTGGTGGACTTGAACTGGCATCTTTTGGATAATTGCCCAATATTCAATGTGGTAAATCAAAACATAGCATGTTTAACTTTCAGTTGGTTGTCTTATATTATTTATGTTTATATATATTTTCTCTTCCCAAGTTAAACAATGAACTTCTTGATAAAGACCATGTTTTTATCAACTTTGTATTTTACAAAGTAAATAGTATAAAGCCTTGTATATGGAGGTTAGGGATAAATATTTATTTACTGAGTAAATGAATTGATTGTGATAGATGCAGTGTGGATTTCTTTGTTTTGGTTGCCCAGCAACTCCTCCTCTGTATGAGTCTTAATGGAAGATAGGGTATCATCACCTTTTACAAGGGAAGCCTAAAGTAATCAAAGCTTCCCTTTTTTTCTACCTTTCAGCCAAGGCAATATTGGTCTAGGCTTAATCACTTGGATGCTTCCATCCAAGACTGACTATTAATATTAAACAAATGGTGTAAAGATGTAGGGTAAACTTTATTTAAGAAGTATGTGAATACGTCATCCAAAAAGGGTGCAGTTAAATGGAGGAAAAAATAGTCAAAGTGCGAGATTCTTCATAAATCAACATTTCTAGGGTCAAAGTAAAATGGCATAGTCAGAAGTAATGAAAAAGAACAGATAGTTTAAAAAAATAGGAAAATTGTTTTTCAAAAGTTAGGTGACACAACAGTGTTAGTCCAAAAAGTTAAAAGTTGCAGACATCACCATAGTTGAAGGTTTGACAATTAGAAGTTACTTTGGAGTAGTTTAGACTCTGAGTCAGACAGCAGTGGGTTGAAGAGTGAGTACGATATGAGGAAGTAAAAGCAAAGGGGACAGGTTACTTTTCTAGAAGTCTTATAAATCAGTAAAAACCACAATGTCTTATACATAAGTAAAGAATTTATTATTACTATTATAAATAAATTTATTAATAATTACATGCTCTCATATTATTTGGGTTTTTACATTGCTACTAGTTTCTCAATTTACCCTAACTACATCATTGTGCCTTCCCAAGTCTAACACATCTGGAAACATCACATATTTATTTTGGTTTTGGAGGGTTTGTTTTATCTGGTTGTGTTTTAAATGCTTCAAGTGATTCTGGTTTTGGATACTGGGCCATAGACCTTCTTACCCAACTTCATCATCTATTTTCCACACAGATAGATAAGCATTTACTTCTCAGTCCAACTCAGGAAAGTACACAAGTTCTTAGGTTGTTAGCAAATGAAATATTCTGCCCACCTGGCCTCTCTCCCGCATCAAATTCCTTGGTGGGTGGAGCTTCTACTCCAAACTTTCTGGGATATTGTGGCCCAGCTGAGGAGTCTGGCTTTCCAGTGAGCTGAGACGGCCCTTTGACAGTCCCCAGTTCAGCACTTTCTCAGAGAAGGCTGGAGAGTAATTAACACCGTCGTCCACCTGTGCACAGGAAGATGCCCACAGCCACACCGGTGATGATGAAGCTGCCCACCAAGACTCCCAGGACCAGCGAGGTGTAGGAACGGCCTGTTTGGCTTCCTGCAGAATATGCAGAGAATTAACCTTAAGAGTATGCTTCCAAGGAGCCCACGGTTGAGTAAAATCGCAAGAGATTTCTGCCCATTATGCTAGATGTCTAAAGCTGTGCACTATCCCAGACTGAGGCCCTGGGCCTTCTGTTGTTCCAAGTATCCATCCCTTTTCCTGGAATCTGCCACTTACCCCAAACACAGACCCATTCCTGGCCCATCGTACCATTTTTCTTTGTCGTATATTCTTGTACGAACTGCACACACGTGTCCTGCAGGAACTCCCGCAGTTCGTATCGAGTTCGGTTGTAGGCATTGAGGGTCATCAGGGTGTAGTTAGCTACTCTGGACAATGTCTTGGAATGTCCTATCCATAAGGCTGTCTCTGGCTGGAAACTGGCAAAGGAGCTCCCATTCACAGTCACTTCAAAGAAGATGTGGGCATTGGAACCCTCTTCAGGCAGCTCACAACCCAGGAAGCAGCGGATTATCAGAGGAACTGGGGAGGGAAGCTTAGGGTCAGGGGCTGTATATAGAGGATGCCAAGTATAGCGTAGGACCACAAGGGGGAAAGAACGTGGCAGGGGTTGCCTGCTAAGGGTTAGTGGCGTTGAGCAAATTCTGGGTCAGGGAATAATGGGGGGAAGTGTTTGAGGGATCCACGACAAGAGAGAGGGTACTAAGAACTATGAAGAAAAGAAGAGATTACGAAGTAAAGGAGTTGCAGGGCTAGGATGTGAGGGAGAGGGAATTTGGGAAGGAATTGGGGTTTTTGCGGAAAAAGGGTTAGAGGTTGTGAGAGTTGAGAGCTACAGTACTCAGTTTTTGTGAGAAGTGATTGGAGGATTGAGAATAAAGTGTTGGAGGGTGTGTTTGTGAAGCGAAAAGACTGGGTCCTCGAGGGAAAGGAGCCAGAGAATTGATAGGGAAAGCGTACGGAGTTTTCAGTGAACTTTCAGATATCTAGTAGAGTCAATGTCATGGGGGCCTTCCGCCCAGAGGTTCTGCCAGCCGGAATCGGGCCTGAAGGAGGGGCCACGTCTATTAGGATACCAGACAAGGACATCTTATTCTACTCCAACCCAGAGTAATCAGCGGCTGCTGCCACTCAAAGACCCGAGGGACCTCAGAGGACCTCAAAGCAGTCCTGCCCCCAGGCCACGCCCACAGCGATAGGCCCAGACACGAGGCCTCGCCCCTGCGCGTCCCACCCACAGGCTCCACCTCCCATCGGGAAGGGCTGGTCCTTCTATTCCAGCTCCGCCCCGTCCAATCCCGGGCCAGCGCGCGGACACCTACAAACCAGTCTCCGCTCGCGGTGCACCAGCAGCACTAAGCTAGAGAATTCTCGTAGGTAGCGTTGCAGGCCTTGCTCTGTTCGCGCCCATTTCTCTGGATCCTCGAAGGGCTGCAGCTGGCTGATCGTGACGTTGTTGCCCGGGCCTTCCAGCACGTGTGTTGTTAGCCCGCCCAGCGACGCGTTCCCGCGGTGCCACACGTGAGAGGAGTCGCGGAAGTAGGCATATTGGAAGATGTGGAGGCTTCGCTGGCCTGAGGGTAGAAGTCAGTGCGTGGGGCTGTGCGGCGGGCAGCCAGATATAATAACCCCCTGCCCAGAGGCCGACTGCCCACCTTTCCGGCCCTTCACAAACTATAAAGTGCCCTCGCTCCCATATAGCGTTTATAGTCACTCTGGGAAGATGACAGGACAGATTATTATCCTCAATTTACAGATGAGGAAACTGAAGTCTAAAGAGCAGAAGCTCTTTATCCCTCCACAGTAAAGCATCCAGTGGGTGAAGGAATCAGTTGTTTCTCTTCTACCCCCATTTCTGATTGGTCAACAATTCCTGACCTACAATAGAATCCTCATTCCATCACTTTTACTCCCCATCATTGGAACTTATTTTAATGATATTATTAGCAAATAAAACCTTATTGTTGATTCCTGATGCAACGTTTTTACATCTATTTGCTAGACTAAATACGACAACCCATTACTTTAAATACAAACAAACAACAAACCTAAACCAAAACCAAAAAATCCAACCCTATGGCCAGTGCTCTGGTACACTCACTCTGGCGTTGCCATCCAGTCGGAACCAACTCATAGCTGACTCTCCAACGGGTTTTCAGAGGATGTAAATTGCACAGGAGGAGATTACCCATCTTTACCCCGTGCAACAGATAGTGGACTCGAGCTATGTGTTTTTGAGTTGATAGCACACCTCCTCATCTGTTCTCACTAAGCTAGGGTGTTACCTTTTTTTTCTTTTCCATCCCATTGTCTTTGATTCAAGTCTCTATGTACCTGATGCCCTCCTGCTTAAAGTCCTCCAGCGTCCTTTCCTCCATCTGTAATGTTAGCTAATATCTATGAAGTGTTTATTATGAACCTTACGCTGTGTTCAGTCCTCCATACATATTATTTATTATGTGTACCTTCCTCTCAACAGTTTAATGCAGTGGCTACTATTATTAACTCCACTCTATATGGGGAAACAGGCTATGATGGTTAATAGGAGAAACTAAGTTTAATGCAGGGATATGACCCCAGTAACCACTTGGTTTTGTGGCTGTGCTACAGAATATCTGTCCACAGGATCAAATCTAAAGTCTTCAGTCCAGCATTCAAGACTGCTGGTAAAAAGCCTCTGCAGATATTTTTTTTTTCTCTGCAGATTTTTTACAATCTCTTCCTCATGCTTCAAAAAAGCTCAGCTTTATTGCTATCAAATTGGAACCTACTCATAGCTGACCCTCCAGCGATTTTATGGGAGGCTGTAAATCACAGGAGATGAGATTTCCCTTGCTTACAGATGTCAAACTGCTGCAGCTTTCTCATGCTGCCATTTGGCTGTCATGTGAATAGCGTGTCATAGTTTCTGCCTGCCTTTTTCTGTACCTCAGATATAGTCATACTTCAAGACTCAGCTCGAATTTCTCCTCTTTGGAGACACTTTCTTTTTGCTCTCCAAGACACAGTAGGTCTGTTTCAGTGATGTTAGATCCTTATGTATGAATGCATGTATCACTGGATTCTACACGATTGTCTCTTCCAGCCATCCCATGCACACTCAGGTTACTATCCGTTTAGTGTCTATTATCTCTGCCTTCTGTACTAGCAAAAGGTCTGTCTTGGGGCTGGTTTCCAAAGAATGTTTGAGGAGGGAATGAGTCTGGGTGGCAAGTCTGTGTGAGTATCTCGCTCAGGTGTTTGATCTGAGAAGTTAAACTCAGTCTGCAGCATTGAATAAATATATCTCTGTGGATAACCCTTGACAAGTTTCTTAACTGCTTTGTGACCCAGGCTCTTACTCTGTAAAATGCAAATAATAATATTACATACTTGTGGAAACTTAGTGAGTACTAAATATATGTATTAACCATAGGGAGCTCTGGTGGCCTAGTGGTAAGGAGTTGCACTCCCAACACAAAGGCACAAGAGTTTGAATCCACTAGCTGCTCTGAGGGAGATAGATGGACAAGTCTCCTCCAATGGGACTTAACTGCTTCTGAAAACCTGCTGGAGGGTCAATTATGAGTCATTTCCGACTCGAAGGCACATAATGATGACAGCATGTATTAATCATAGTGAGCACACATTGAATATTGGTTATTTGCCCCCTTTCTAAGGGGTACAACTGAAACTACTGGGATTGAGGGGAAAGATAAAGGAGGCCTCTATGCAATCACAATGCAAGGCAGTAACTCCCCTTCTTTCAAACAAGGTCACATCAAGCCACATGACCCCTCAAGCATTTTTCTATAGCTTTGTCGCACTAGTTTCACCTCCCCAGTTGCACCTTCTTTTTCCATCTTCCATAGTCTCACCTTCTGCCTCACCTTTATCAATCTGTCTTTCCTCTAAGCCTTCCATCAGTTCTGCTGTCTCCCCATTCCCTCCAGCTCTCTTCACATCACCAAGCCTTCCCTTCTTTCCTAAACTTTCCACCATCCACCATCATTCTCATCTTTCCCTCTGCAGATTTCATTCTTCTCCTCCATGCCGAGTCCGTCACCTTTTCTTCTAGTCCTCTTCCAGTTTTCCCTAGCCTCATCCATCTCCTGTTTTCCAGGGAACTGGACTTTGTCTCCTTGCCTTGGCTTTGGGGCACAGACCAGCCACCAAAGCCTGGGCCTGACTGCCCTGTAGAGAGACCTAGACAGCTATAGATGCAGCCTCTGGGAGAAACTTTTCCCTGATCTCACTCAGGGACCCAGAGAGGTTGAAATTATTCCCAAACTATAGTGAAGTAAGAAACGTGCACTCACCATCTGTGTCTTTCTGGCTACAAAAGGCCCCGCTGGGCAGGAGCAGCAGAGACAGCAGTGGCAGCAATGTTGTCAGCATCCTGGGGCTGAGGTTCTTTGCACAGCTTGGGCTCCTGACTCTGACTCTGGCAGGCAGGCAGGCAGTCAGGCAGGCAGGCAGGGAACTTTGACTAGCTGAAACCTAGTTTAAGGAGAGGAGTGAAGACTGGAAAGGGGCGGAGGCTTAGCAAAGGATGCTGGAACGAGGCCAGAGGAGAGGAGGAAGAAGAGGGCGTCAGACTTTGAGAGTGTTATTCCTACTCTGTCTCATTTCCTACTAGGGGACCAACCTCCCTCTCCCCTCCCATTGCCCCGCCTAGCTCCTCTCCCTCTGCCCAGACCTGCCTTGTACCTCTTCACAGAGCTGCCCCTAAGGATCAGGGAGCAGAAAAGAGGGGGAGAAGCTCGGTGAGAAGTGCTGCCAGAGCTGAGTCAAGAGGTGGGGCATTGCTTTCAGTTTAGAACTGACTCCAGGGTATAGACATCAACTGGTTGGTGACGGGGAAAACTGAGGCCCACAGAGGTGCAGGGATTTGCCCAAAGTTTACACATCATGATGGTGACAGATCTTGGGTTGGAATTCTGTTTTCCAGTGTGCTGGCTGCCGTTTCTCTGTCAATGGCAATTACACAACCAAAGATCCTGCTCTCAGACATAGTCATGGAATGAGTAGAAAGCAGATCACTGCAGCATTGTTTGTAGTTGGGGTTGGGGGGTATGAACAATCTATGTAAATCTCAATAGAGGATTGGTTACATAAAGCAATGATGTTCAGATTTACATCAGTAGTGTTGCTTTACATCATTAGTGAGTAATTAAGTAAATTTTCATAATAGCCCCTTACTTTTTTAAAAATAGAAAACATGAGTTGTGATTTTGGGGGATAATTATTCATTATTACTCTTTTAAAAATTAAACAGAATGGAAAATGTTAATGTATTGTGCTTAGTAAGTGGGGGTAAGTATTATTTTTTAAAACTTCCTGTTCACCAAAAATTATGTATTACGTGTCTTGATTTTGTGTTCTAGTATGTTTCTACTTATGAGTTTTGGATCACAATGTAAAATGTCTTTCTCACGCCATAGAAGCAAGTAGAAAAGTTTGAAAGTCACTCCTCAAACTATAAACATCCATACTGTGGATTCCTCTGCAGTAGTTATGCCCTCTCCCAATCAATTCCCCATTTTGTTTCATCATGTTACTTAGTGCTACTTGAAGTTGTATTACTTGTTTGTTTAAGGGTTTATTGTCTGCATGTCCTGCCAGGGTGTAATAGGCTCCATGAGGGCCAAGGCTGTCCATCATTTGCATACATGTCTGTGCCTAGAAGAGTGCAGAACAATGAATATATGCCAAATAGATGACTGAATGGGACAGATGTGATGTGCATAAAGATTATGTGTAATTTTGAACCATTCATGTGTAATGCACATTCCACACTACAATATTTTTTAAAAAATTTTTATTTTATTATTTTTGTGTGAGTGTACCGTCAAATCAGATCTGACTGGTACAGAAGGAGATTGTCCCCGGCAGAGCATCTGGTGGATTCGAACTTTGCGCCTCTGGGCTTGTAGTTGCAGCTCCACACTACAATCTTTATTTAAAAAATTATTGTACTTTTTTAATGATGCAGTTTAACTATTCTTTTTCTCTCATTTCTTTTTTTTATTGTAGTGGAGGTTTACAAAGAGATTGATTTAATTCACTCATTCATGCACACTTTTCTCCTTTCCCTCCCCTAGTTCCCTTTGTAATGCTTGTCCTGTTCCAGGCTATTAATTGGCATACATATAGTTTCCAGTTGTCCATCCCTTTCAGATTGTCCTTCCTTTCACCCATTCCAGTGCAGGGGTCATTATCTGGCTACTCTTTCCCCCTCCCTACCCCTGTCTTGATCCTATTATTTCAGTAGTGGGCTCATGCAGTATTTGTGACTGATATATTTCAGCATAATGTCTTCCAGACTCGTCCACATTATGTGGTGTTTTACAAGTTATTTGGGTTTTTTTCCCCAATGCTTAATAGTATTCCATTGTGTGACTGGACCATCTTTTCTCTAACCATTCAGTTGATGGACACCTGGCCTGTTTCCATCTCTTTGCTGTTGTGAATAAAGCTGTGATTAATATGGGTGAGTATATGTCTGTTTGTGTCACAGGTCTGATTTCTTTGCACTGTATACCTAGCAGTGGGATAGCTGAGTCAAATGGTATTTCTATTTCCAGCTTTTTTTTTGTAACGTCGAATCAGATCCAACTGGCACAAGAGGAGATTGCTCCTCCTTCTTCAGCAGAGCATCTGGAATTTCCAACTTTTTGAGGAAGTGCCAGATTGTCCTACATAAATAGTTGTATAAAAATTATTGTATTTTTGTTGAAGGTTTGTTGTTGTTGTTGTTATGTGCCATCGAGTCGCCTGCGACTCATAGCGAACCTATGTATAACAGCCCTAAACTCCGCTCTGTCCTGTGCCAATCGCACTGTCTCTGACACTCCCATCCCAATTATCCCAGTCACTGAATCAATCCACCTCATAGAGGGCCTTCCTCTCCTGCGCTGTCCCTCCACCCTCCCAAGCATGATGTCCCTCTCTAAGGACCGGTCTCTCCTCACTACATGTCCAAAGTAAGTTAGACGGAGCCTCAGAATCCTTGCCTCCAAGGAGCCACCCGGTTTAACCCTCTCCAGGACAAATCTATTTGTTTTCCTAGCAGTCCATGGTATTCTCAATACTCTTCTCCAGCACCACAGCTCAAAGGCATCAGTTCTCCTTCTATCCTCCTTGGTCATTGTCCAACTCTCTGATGCATAACAGGTGATTGCGAAGACCATGGCCTGTATCGGACGCACCTTAGTCTCCAGAGAGACGCCACTGCTCTTCAGCACTTTGGAGAGGTCCCTAACAGCAGACTTTCCCATGGCAATGCGCCTTTTAATTTCCTGGCTGCTGGTGCCAAGACTGTTGACTGTGGAGCCAAGCAAACTAAAGCTGTGTACAATCTCAATCTCTTCACCATCCATCCTGATGCTGCCAATTGGTCCAGTGGTGAGAATCTTTGTCTTCTTGACATTGAGCCTCAATCCATATTGTAGGCTGCAGTCCTTGACACTCTGCAGCAGGCGCTTCAGGTCCTCCTCAGTTGCAGCAAGCAGGGTTGTGTCATCTGCATAACGCAGATTGTTGAAGGTTTACACAAAAAAATATGCTTTTCAGTTAACAATTCCAATACAGTCTATTTCTATTCAGTGTCACTAGTTCCATTTTTCACAGTATGTCAGCATTCTCATTATTTTCATTCTGGTGGTTCTGTTTCTGTTTATCTAGCTTCCCTGCTCTTCCTTACATTCTCGTTGTTGTTTCAGAATAAATATTGACCATTTTGTCTTACATGGATGATTATTTAAAAGTAACTAAATACTCATGGATGATATTTTATGAGCTGATCTTTCTAAGGCAGGTGGTTTCTTCTCCCTTGCAATTATAGCCCCTGAAAACTGGCTGAAGGATCCTACTCAATGGTACATAATAATGGCAACACCTATTCTTTACTGAAAGATGACCTCTAGGAGTGAGATTAAGTCCAAATTTATAGAGTACCTCAGAACAATAATATCAAGGAATTCTTTAATCTGTATTGGTCCAATAAAGGTAACCTTTTTATTTTTAATAAGGAATTTTAGGTTTATTCTAATAACCACCTTTTTTTTCAATGAGAGTTAGTGAATCTGGAAGGATGATGTCACACATAGTAGTGATTTTCTCCAGGAATGACCCTGGATGAAGTGTGTATAAATGTGTATATTTGGATGCAAATGAAGTGGTTTTGTGAAAGATTTTATTATTCTGTCTTGTGAAGGTTTTTATCATATTATCTATTTTTTTTTACATTTTTATACCCAGATTGTGTTCAGATACTTCATGTTTAAATTAAAATGAAAATTATAAATAGTAAATGAGGATACATCCACATAGTGAAATACCCTACCAGTTCCTACCTGTCCAGTAGAGAGACTCAGCCAACTGCAGACACAGACTGAGCGTTGTATTGACATGGAGCTCTACCGATGAGCCAGTAAATGAAAGAAGAAATTATGGAACAATATAAATATGAATAGCTTAATTATATCTATTAAGAAATGTTAATTTCTTAATGTTAACTTCTGTCTAAGTAATACATCTATAATTCTATCTTCATGTTGTATCTGTATATTTGTATAATTCTATCTTCATGTTGTATCTGTATATTTGTATAATTCTATCTTCATGTTGTATCTGTATATTTGTAAAGAAAATCATTTGCTGCTGGGTTAATTGCAGCTCATGACAACCCCTTGCATTGCAGTATATAAGAGTAGAACTATGCTACATAGATTTTTCTGTTTGTTTGGATATTTTTCTTTTTTTTTTATATTTTTCTTTTTAATTGTAATAGGGTGTAAGATTATAGAGCATATTAGTTGTCCATTCAACATTTTGTTTAATGACATTGGTCACAGTTACCTCAATGTAATATCACTCTTTCCCCTTCCTTCCCACCCATAGTTTATTGGGGTTTGGTTTCCCCTCTCCCAACTTTCCCCTACCTCATAGTGTTTTTAATGGCTGAGTTTTCAGAAGTAGATTGCCAGGACTTTCTTCTGAGGCATTTCTGGGTAGACTCGAACTGCTAACCTTTTGGATGAACACATTAACCATTTGCACAACTCAGGGACTCCAATATTTGCATATGTTGTTGTGAGGTGCCATCGAATCAGATCTGACTCAGTGACGCCCTGCAACAGAATGAAACACTGCCTGGGCCTGCAATAACTGTGAAGACATTTGCCCATACATAGGAAGAAGTGCAGCAGAGTGCATACCAAACTGAGAATAGAGTCTGGGGAAGGGGACTGAATACAGCCTTGAGGAGGACTTCAGCTTTTTGTTCTATGTCTTTCTCCCACGAGGGACAGGTAATGTTATAGTGGAATATAGGCCAAACCCTGGATATGTCTTCAGTCTCTGAACTAAACATGTCCTGGAATTTCCAGTCTTTG